CACCGTCGATCCAACAGGTCTTGAGGAGCTGGCGATGCTGTGGACTTCGATCCCAACATCCCGCGATCCCCCCCAAGAGTTCGTAGCTGCTCGATCACGCAAGGCTGCCGCATCACTTTTCCCATGAAATCCGCTTGGTATGCCGAACAAAGTGGCTGCACTAGGCTGGAACGCGCAGGTGCTGGTTGCTAATACCTGGCACGTAGTGCTCGGCATTGCATCCGCCACGATTGGCATTGAACTGCGGCCATGAAGAGTTTTCCACCGTGAATGGAATTCCATCCATCACAAGGTCTGGTTCTTGTCCGATTCCGAGAAATGCGAACTTCTCTTTGGCGACTGGAGAACTTGACTTGGGGACCGTATTTCAGGGATCGTACCTCATCCTACGGAAAATGCAGCACCTTACTTCCTTTTCCTACGGCTCCCAGCCAGACTCAGTAGTCCTCGAAGACATGGGCATGCTCGAAGGTCGCGTCGCTCCTCCTGATTGGAGTTTCGCGCTGCCTCCAATTCGCTGCTGTGTCCTCGCTTGAAAGATCTTCTTGTGCTTTGAGCGTGTTTCCTGAATCACTCAGCTCGTCTGCAAGGTAGGCAATGATCGCCTTGCTGATTTCATTTGATGAAGTCGATCCTCTGCTTCTTGCATCCTCTTCACAGCCATTTTGCGGTACTCTTCATCTTCACCAAGACGTTCGCGAAGCCGAATCGTTCTTGTTCTGGCTTGCGCTGTTTCCCAGCTAGCCTTGGATCTCGTTCACCGCCCGCAACTCCTGGTTCTTGACCAAGTGAATCGTTCCTGCATTGCTTGTAAGCTTGTTCCGAACTTGCTGTGTTTTTGACCGGAGGCCCAAGTCTCTCTGGCGTGTTCATGGAAGTTCATGAGTCAGACGCTCATACTCACGTGCCATAACTCACCATCGCCTTGCGCTCTTGCCTCCAACTGCACAAAGTTGGTGGCTGCCCGTGCGGAACACGTGTAGCTGTTGAGCTAACTCCTCGCAACGCGTGCTTGACGTTGTTGACAAGTTGCTGTTCATCCATGCAAACAAAGCTGTTCATAGGTGCTCGCTTCATCTCCTGTTTGGACATTGTTGATGTGCCTCATGGTAAGCAATGAATGGTCAAGTTGTCGTTCCAATTTCTTCAATGCGAATTCCAGATCCTTCATCTTCTTGTTGCATCTCCTTGATCTTGTCCATCAGGGTTTGGACGATTCCTTCGTATTCTTGCACCTGACTGCGATAGTACATCTGCTGTGCAAGGTTCGATGTTTCGAACTGTTGCGAAATCGTCAGTTCCTGATAAGTGTTCGGACCATCAGCTATGGCAGGCGTGGCCACGGACGACGCATCACCACGTGCAGGAATCGTATCCAGAGTCATATCCAGATCGTCAGCATCGCGTGGTTGATTGGTAACCATCCGATTCCAAGTCATGGACTTGTCACGCCCACGCGTAGCCGAAGTCCTCGACCGTGCTGAAGAGCTTCTCGAAGATGATGGTCTTGACTTCTTTTCCAAGGTCTTGACTCCTTTGTCCTTGGCCCTGGACGTAGTCCGAGGTGCCTGAAAACCAGACGCTTCGGCCCGTCGTTCTGAAGCCTTGCCCGTCCTCGAACCTGGGGATGTCGGACGCGAAGGCGTAGATGCTCTTGGTAGACTCTTTGCTTTCCCCTTGGGAACTGCCTTTGCAATGGCAAGCGCAGAAGATTGACCTTTGTCATCTTCCGTTGAGCTATCAACGGATTGCACCACTGTGTCATCAGCTGTTGACTCACCAACGGCTGGCGCTGCCACATCGGCACCGAAAGTCATTGTCGTATCTTGGCTTGATCCTGAGTTCATTGTGGTCGTAGTATATCAAGTAGTCGTTGCTGTAGGAAGGCAGAGCCGCGTACGGCTGATAACCTGCGTGGGGGAATTGATCTCGACTTGGTTGCTGCTCTCCCCACCAGAGCTGTAATGAATGTAGGTGTGGCTGGCTAGCACTCTCCACAGACTGGACCCTGTCTCTCCCTCTTACTCCCACACGCGCAATCCTATGCAGGCAGAACCGGCGGCCGTTCCTTTTGCACTCACTGCCGGCGGCGGTTCGTCTGTGCAACGGGATAGCTCTGATTGCTCAGGATAGAAGACACATATAGCACTTAGCGATGGGCATTGACTTGAGCCAAACGTTGCGTTGGCGGTCACATAGAAAGGTAAAGACGAGGGATGCGTAGCATGCCCCCTAGAGTCGAGGGACGCGTAGCGTGCCCCCTTCTCTTGCACTTTACACGGTCTTGCTCACAGCTCTTATAGTGACACCTTAGAACTTGACAAGGCATCGCAGTCCGTTCGCAAGAATAGAACCAAGAACAATACATATTAATCCTAACACTAATACTAGTACTAATACTAGTTACTAATTCTAATACTCATACTCATACCAATACTAATGTCACCACTACTGCTGCTACTACTACTGCTACTACTACGACTACTACTACTACTACTACTACTACTACTAGTACACATGCTTAATACTAAAACTAATACTGATACTCATACTAGTCACTAATACTAATACTAATACTCATTCTAATACTAATACCAATACTAATGCTACCACTACTACTGCTGTGCGACAACTATTGCTAGTACGACGACTACTACTATTAACATCAATACACATACTTAATGCTAATACTAAGAGTAATACTAATTCGAATACTATTACTCATACTAAACATCCTAATATCAATACTACCACAAAACTAATACTAATGCTAACATTGATACAAGAATTAAGATCTACAAACAGTAAGAGTGGTACGAAGAGCAGAATTGAGATTAAGATTGGGACTAGGAGCGCTGCATGCGTGTGAAGAAATTTCCAAAAATTGCAAACCATCTAAAAGAACATTTTGTAATTGAGTTTGGGAGAAGTGTCTGTCGCCTATCCGTTGACAGATCCTGCCTGGGGACGCACGCCACCCTTCCCCTTCCCCACGACGGTCTGTCATGGGGGGGGGGTGAGCATATATATGTATATAAAGTAATGTAATGTAATCGAATAGAATAGATTTGGATATATATATATATATATATATAAGTGTATATGTATAGTTCTTTTGTTTTTTAACTGCTCGTTTTAGACAGTAAGAGTAGGCACAGGATGCGACAGCCTGAACCCTTAACCGCACAAATCCCGCCCCAAAACACCCAACCCCCGCGTTATAGAAAGCTAGAAGACTCTTTTTCAGCAGCATCAAAACCCAAACCCCAAAGACCCTACACTCTGAGCATCTCCGCAACTGTAACCCGAAGAGCCCTAAGCCCACAGCCCTGTTCTGAGAACTAGCTGGGGTCTCTTTATGACTAGCTAGTTAGTGTAGCATTGAAACGGAATAGTGTTGTGTAGGGCCTTAGTGCTAAGCTGCTAAACGTATACCGAAAATGCCGCTTTAAATCCCAAAGTGTGAACCGTGAAGGCCTAAACCCCAAACTCTACACCCTCAGCCCCAAACCTTGCCTTTACTTTCCAGGCCTGTCGCTTCTGGTCCTTTTGGACCTCCCGAACTGGAGGTCGGCAACCAGGGCCTTTGGGGATTTACGTTAGGGTTGGGAACGAATGATTGAATGAATTACCCTATGAATGAGTTAATGCCAGAATTGTACTTATGCAATGTAACCGAAGGTAATGTATGGAGATATGTAGATATGTAGATATGCATGCATGTATGCATCATGTATGTATGTATGTATGCATGCATGCTTTGTATACTGCTTCTCGTATCTCGGTGTCGTACTTGCTTCGAAGCACCATGTTCCTTCTTCTTCCGAGAGGATGCACAGCGTTTGTTCTGCCTCGTCTGTTGGCATGTCAGTATGATTGTCTGCTGAGACTGTTCTGCCTGGAAGCTTCCGTAAAAGGATCAATAAAAGGGTGTTTGAAGCCGGCGATGTGCCTATCAGGGGATGCAACAAGGGCTTCTGACTCAGAGAACTGACCATCTGGGCATTTCTTGCCGGTAAGTCTCAATTGCACAAGGTACCTGAAGGGGAGACACTGTTCGAGAGAAACCGGGCCGTGATAAGAATCGGCTGATGCAGTGAGCATCCTGCACACATGGCAAGGCGGCCAAAAAACGATCTTGGTAGTTCCCTAGGCCAACATGTTTCTGGATCTGCACCACAGCTGTAGCTGGAGATGCTGAAGTTTCAAGGTTGGACCGCCGACCAAAAGCCCATTACATGCCATGCCAGCATAACTTGTGAAAACCATTAGTAGTGGTAGTGAGAGAAATGGAGTGAAACACGCAAGCACGATCTCACAACATCCCAGCTTCTTAAAATAGGACATAGGAGACGAATCGTCATAAGACTGTTTCTGTATTCCTGCTCGTCTTTGTTATGACCACATTATCATCGCCATCATCATCATCATCACCATCATCATCATCAGTCAGGGACCTGCTGGCTTCGGCGGCACGACGAGCAGCGAGACACGATGACGCTTGATGGAAGACTTAGGTAGGTTCATGTTTTCATGATTTCTTGCACCCACCTGCACATATCATACAGGCATACATGCATACATGCGTACATACATTCAAACCTACATGCATACATCTATATGTATACAAACATATATGCATGCATATGCATGCATACATACATAATTGCATAAACACAAGTGCAACATGCGCAACATACATTGACGTGTATGTCGATGTGTGCATGCTTATGCTAAGTGAAGTTTGGATGCTGTAGACTTGAGTTTCATGTCTGTTGGTGTAGTGCAGCTTCTGTCGGGTGACCCTTCTGTCCATGGGTTCCAGTCTTGACCAGCAAGTTGCTGCCGTGCGCTGTCTTTTCGCGAGCCAGCTCATCGAGGCGACCTTTACTCAAAGTCCAGGTACGTGGCTGCTATGTGTTGTTTGCAAATGTAGCAGTCTTGTTGCCCGCAGCCGCACGGATCAGTGCTGAATCCTGGAGGTAGCTGTTCCTGCCGACATGGTGATCTTCGCCGTTGACAGTGTCCTCCAGTGGCCACTCAAGATAGCTCAATTTGTTCAATCAGTTGCCTTGGACCACACTCGTGGCATATGGCTTGTCCGTTCATGGTCGACTTTTGTGACAATTGCACCCTTGTATCACATGGCAGTGATGATCGATGGCTTTGTGTACGATATCGGTGTACATGGGGCTGGCACAAGTGATTCTGGCATTAGCCGCAGCTCAGCAGATGCTACATGGGAGGTGTCTTCAGATGCCACGTATGAAAATTCAGGTTACGTGGGCTGGGTGCGCCTCTACGACAACCCTGAGGTCAACAAATCCAGAAATGAGTTGAAGGAATTTGCCGATTCGCTCAACGGTGAAGCATATCACCTGCTTCTCAATAACTGCCACGAGTTCTGCTATAGAATGATAAGCTTCGCCACTGGTGAATCGCTTGATCTGACTTCAGAGCGTACAGCCAAGACCTTTGGGTATGCACTAAGAGCGCAAGGGTCCCTGCAGGGTAGATAAGAAAGTCTGCTCGGTGTTGCAGGCAGGGTTTAGTGGCTTTGGCTTGACCCTGAAGAATGAGCCCCCTCCCCATGAACTGGCGCGATCGTTCCAGAAGACTCCAAAACTCCGACCTGTGCAAAACAGCGGCAGTTCAGATTCAATGTGCAACACGAACAGCTCTTATCGAAATGTGCAGTTAAGATCTGATAAGCAAAGCGTCAGTCGTATATGATAACCCGAGCATTGTGCTGGATCCTAGCCCCCAAAAACCGTATGAATAATATTGTTGAAGTTGGCAGCATTAATATCTGACCTTGAAGATCTCGAAGTCGAACCCATAAACTGCAACCCTGAGGCTGAGGCCCCAAACTACCCCAATGATCCCTGAACCGCAAATCCTAGCAGAGCCCTGAGCCCCGTGTCCGACACTTCAACTCAAACTCTTCTTGTTAAAGAACCCTGAAACAAAAGCTCTCGATCCGAAAGCCCGTAACTCCCAACCACCCCAAGGCCCTTGAATCGCAAATCCGACACCCTCAAAACCCTGAAACCCTGAACCCTAAACCCGCAAAGCCATAGACTCTAAGCCCTTAACGCCAAGCCCAAAACCCAAAATAGATCACAAGCCGTACGCCCAAAACCCTAAGCACCGTTCCCTCACTTCTAAGATGCACGGCTACCGTCTCCCCCTTGAGAACGAATCCCTAAAACATCCTGACAAAAGCCTACGAAGAAGAAGCCTCACCAACACCCATGAAAACCCTATGAATCCCTCGCAAAGCCCTTAAAACGATACTTCAAGAGCCCTGAACACCCGACAGAGAACCCTAAACAAAAACCCTTTGAAGCCCCCAATCCGAGGATGGATCCCTTATAGATCCCTTAAAGGAACCCCGAGGTCCCTAGGGTATTCCTCAATTAAGGGGTATTGGGCTCTCTGGGAACACGAGGATGGAGAGCATGACCGCTTATAGATCCTTATAGATTCCTTATAGATCCCTTATAGATCCTTGTAGATCCCTTATAGATCCCTTAAAGATCCCTTAGAGATCCCTTATAGATCCCTTATAGATCCCTTAAAGATCCCTTAGAGATCCCTTAAAGGGCTCTCTAAAGCCACGAGGATGGAGAGCATGACCGCGGCGGCCGACTGCGTGCCTCCCGTGGCCCTGGCCAGCGACCGGGCCAAGCGGCCGGACGAGCCCACGTCGCTGCGGCAGAAAGACTTGACTATTTGACTATAGTTATAATAAGGAGCCCCAAAATGGTATACGTAATTATTAAGGCCCCCATGTGCTATGGCACAAAGCTCTTGGGGGGTTACTATAAGGGTTTAGGGTTTAGATATAGGCTATAAGTTTAGGGGTTTCAGGTTCTTAGAACTAGAAGAGTGCTTTTGGGTCTGGGGTCAGGGTTTAGGGTTGCTGCCGCAGCAAATTTCGAAGGCTTTATTCGGCTGGATTTACAAGGGCACATGAAGTGTGGATAAGGCTTCCAGAAGGGCTCTACGAGGGTGCCATAAGGTTACTATGAGGATACTGTAGGGTTTGGGTTTGAGGGTTTGTGTTTAGGTTTCGTTTCGGAGTTTGGGTTCAGGGTTTCGTTGTTCTTTGTCACTGTCGGGATTTCAAGGTATCGGGTTTAACAAGGGCGGTCTACACAAGAGAGTCTGTGGTTTAGGGTTTCGCTGCCGATCGAGCAAGGGGCCGAACGGGGCAGTGATTCGAGCGCGGGGCTTTGTGTCTAAGTAGCTAAGCAGTTGCAGTGGAAGGCTAGCGTAGTCGGATCGAAACCCCACAGTGGAGCGTCGCTTCAAAGGCCTACGGGACTTTGAAAGTAGCTGGCAGTTGAGGTTGTAAGTCCCCTACGTCGGGTTATCCTAATTCTGACCTTCCCTAGAAGGTACTTACTGAGTACCTAGGGCCTTTAAGTGTGACATCATAGACGATATGTAGGTTCCACTAATCTCGTTGCCCTGAAAAGCTAAAGACACAAGACCTCTGAGCCCCGAAACCCCTGATGAAGGGTTTCGGGTTTAGCGGCCCTGATGCCCCAAAAGCCCTAAGCCCTACAGTTCTCAATGCGCTGCCGCTATGCCCTGAGCCCCTCTAAACCGTCAGCGACGGCAGCCAGACCAGAGAGCCCCGCAGAGCTTAAACCCGAAAACCTACAAACCTAACCGCCTTTTGTGCTCAGGTTTTTAGTCAGGGAGCAGGCCTCAGATGGTAGTCGTGAGACTCGATCAGGCTTGTAGGTCCGGACGTGGGGTTTGGGGTTTAGGATTTACCGGTTAGGGCAATAAGAACCCGAAAAACACCTTGCAGTACCTTCGGGCTTAAACCCTAAACCCTGAACCCTAAACCTCGAACCCCTAAACTCCTAAACCCCTAAACCCCTAAAGCCTAAACCCTAGTATTATGATGCCATTTGGGAGTTTCCGAAAATAAGGGACCCTGATATAGCACCCGAAATAGTAGGATCCTTAATACAAGGACACCAAAATCAGGCACCCCTGATTTCCGGAACTCCCAAAGAAGCCGAGGCTTTTCGAGCTCGCGCAGCGGGGAGGAGGCTCTTTGGAGCCTGGCCGGCTCTCCTTCCAGTGGGATCTGCTGAAGGCCTTCCGAATTTAGGGGTTTGGGTTCCGCATTTAGGGTTTTGGGTTCCGCATTTAGGGTTTTGGGTTCCGAAGTTAGGGTTTTGGGTTCCGAATTCAGGGTTTTGAGTTTTGGGTTTCGGGTTTGGGCTTTGGGATTTTGGG